CGGTCAAAGATGCAGCGAATCAAGAAGGCTGGAGCATTAGGGGGGGGGGGGGGTCAAGATGTCGACGATATTAGACTTTGTATGCATCCATCATCTCAGAGAACCCCCCTCAACCTGGTCAGGGGAAGGATGTTGTGAAGTGGAAGCATGGTGATGATGACTATTAAATTTTTTTACATCTTATACTACTTGGAATCTGGTTCAAACGAAAAAGGATAAGGGTCAGTGGAGTAAAGTAGTGTGGTTTACACAAGGAATCCAAAGATATGGTTTTATTATCTGGCTTGCTATGAAGGATCGGTTATCTACTGGTAGTAGGATGAGGCAGTGGGGAATAGTACAGGGATGTGAGTTATGTGGAGAAAGAAACAAAACCAGAGATCACTTATTTTTTCGTGTGCATATTCCTCCATGGTCTGGGAAGCTTTAGCAAAAGGTTTCATGGGACGTGGGATAAACCCGGACTGGCACTGGACAGTTCAGCATCTGATTAATACAATGTTCGAAACTACGCTAGGCGCTAGTCGGGCGGCGATCCCGGGCCTAGCGAGTTATCGAAAAATCGGAGTTTAATCGGGGCCTAATTTATAATAAGATTTAATACTAGATCTTGACCCGCGCACCGGCGCGGGTTTAAGTTAATTTGAAAAATTATAATATATTCATAAGTCATCGGTTATTACCGTATTTCAAAAACTATGATCGTATTGAATATAATAGGACTGGGGTTTGATTTTGGGTTCAACTTTTGTTGGATTCTTTATGTTCGTAGTTTTTTTAAATCTACAGATATAAGATCTGTTCTGTTATCTATATAAATTGATTTGCGTCCGGTTCGATTCTTTTGGTTTGAGCTGAGTTTGGTAATAATTATAATAACCGACTAATATCAGATAAATTTTTGGTTTCAATATGATAACGGTTTGGTTACGATTTCTAGGATTAATTTTAGATTAATCGGGGTAAAACTGATTTTGGGGGAGGGGATAGGTGTTTCGGATAAATATCCAGTTACGAAAACAAAATTTTAATATTTTAGTTAAAACTATTCAAATATTTGTGTCTTTATGATAATTCGAATAATGTAAAATACTTTAGATAAAATACATTTGAGTATTAAATTATTTGAAATGTAAATTGTTATTATCTTACAAACTGATGTTATTTTTAATTTAGTCAACAATAAATAAAATTGAATATGGTCTTTATATAAAATATAAACTAAAAACACAAATTACTACAATGGGCCAGATGATTAAAGCCAACCATAACATAAAATAAATTAAACAAAAGCCCAATTCTATTATAACAATATTTAAAAGCCCAACTCTATTAAACTTATAGCCAAACAACATTAAACTCTTTATTACTACTATTTAAGTTTCCAAACAAACCTAAAGAGTACTACAACTTTAATAAGATAGATATTTATGTAACAAATATGAATTAAATTTTTAATACATGATTAT